TTAAATTGTAAGTAGGGTGCCTACAAAGCGCCATAGATAGAGTGGTAGTATAACGGAATCGAAGTTTAATAGTAACAATCCAAACTGGAGACAATACATAAGGTAAACGTTGTAAAGATCGGTGATTAGTAAGTCCATATTTTGTATTATAATCAGTTAGTAAGAATTGTTGGCAAATGGCTAACAAAAAAAAGATGCCAATTGGACAAAAGGAGTTCTACTATCGGCAGGCATAATGGTATAATAAACATCAAGTGTAAATAGAGGAAAGCGTAAGACTTGGTTACTGTTGAAATCATCATGCAAAAGGATGAAAATGATGATGGTGTATGGCTCCATTTGCCCAGCCATGATAATCGGTATTAGCATAGCTGCTACCTTTGATTAATATCAACTCGACTCAATAGTCATCGAGTTGATGTTGAATAAATTCTCCACTCAACTCTAGCTGTAATAGTAATTTTCGATCCAAAGTAAAACGATTAAAATAGTCAATGAGGTCTAATACTTGGTTTCTACTTGTTAAATACCATATTATTAGTCAATAAAGATAGTTAATGGATCGAGATCAACATGAAATTAAACAGTAGACGATAATGGAAAAGCGAAGTTATTCCCCCAAAATATTTGCATTAATCTGTGATGATTGACTGATGATATAAATTACTATTGAGCAATTACAATCTTATCGAGTCTATTTTCTACTATGGGATAGCAACATGATCTACTGTATCGGTAAATTATGTGATCGGATAATTGATATCCGGTAATAAAGTTACAGAGTCTATTTTTCTGTTTGCAAATAAATTAAACTAGGAAGGATACATTAGCTCATTGATTGATTGATCTAAATTGTAATCGAATAAGGTAAAGAATAGCAATATCCTATTTTTTAATAGCATACATGATATGTTTGCGTGGTTAGTCAATGGAATGGTGAATTTTGGATTGCATGAAGGGTAAGCATTGGAGAAAAGTAAAGGTTTATAAACGCTAGATATCATCATTCAATCAATCCTATTCATCATCATGATGGGAATCTTTATCTTATAGGCTTTCAATAGCAATTGAATAGAAGATAAGCTAATGGATGATAAAACAAATTATTGATACTTACCACTTGTGTTAAGAAGAATTTGAATCTTAAGCAGTAGATTGGATAGGTAATAGCTGGAAAATTTCAATCAAAGGATGAAATAGTTGCTGGTTGAAGAATAATCGATGATAGCCGATGTGGAAGAATAGAGACTAGTTGTTACGTTGAAGGCGCGCGCGAGCGAAGATCAATGATTGATCATATGTAGACAGTAGGCAGCATGAAGGAAATGATAATCAATCTTTCTTTTTCCTCTTCTTAACCACTTCTTGTTGAACTGTTGGCGTAAACAAAAGTATATGACACAACGAGTCAAGACAAGATGCTCTTATTCATAGCGTTCGAGCCGGGGCGGAGGCCAAATGGTTACAGGCACATTAAGTCGAAAATGCCAATCGATTTAGAGTATAAAAAATGCTAGAACAAAGCCCTCAGGTGAATCAATTAACATCATATAAGTATAAAAAATAAAGATGACAATAGAAATGTCTGGATATTGTCATGAATTCAACAGTGGCAAAAAAAAATACAAGGCAAAAAGAGAAGAAGTTGATGTCCATTCATTTCTTTTCTTTCTATTTAATGTATAGCTATTTTTTCAATTCTCGTCTTGATTATTATTGTTGTTGCATTTTATTTTAGCATCATTTAACTACATCTATTGATAGGATAAAGTTACTTCATTTCCCCTCATTTTTTTTCTTTTTGTTGTTAATTCTCCACCTTTTTCCTCTTTGATGATTAGATTGTAGTTTATTTTCTTTTCAATCCTTGAACTCTAATTTAGCCTTAAGTGATATCTCCACACAGTGTGGAATTCTTTTTCTATAATAGCGTCATCATTCTGCTAATCAAGCATACAATAATTTACATAATGACTCTAATCGAGTTAAAGGAAGGGATAAAGATCATATTAATAGGTAAATTATAGGTTAAGTTGAAGACGAAGGATAGTTGCAGTTAATTAACTTGATCTCATTCACGTCCATATTCTATCTCAATTGATAATTATGACATCATATCATAATATCGATCGATCGATTTCACTCTAAATGATTTAGCTTATCCTCTTCAAGATAGATTGATCTTGTTGTTGAATTTAATTTTCAAAGTTAAACGGACAAACGATTATCCCGTAAAAAATGGACGGCATTTTCTATTTATTTTCACACTTAACTCAAAATGAAATATGTTAGACAAACATAGACGGTAAAGAGTCTGCCAGTTTGTCATTCTTATTTACATTTTTTCTCTATTTGTCCGTTACTCATTTTATTTTTTCCTAGAGTAGTTTTTACCCTCTTGGTAATTTCATTATTTAGCTCTAATGATTCACAATCGTAGCAAGTTGTTATTTTTTTCTCATAGGAGTAAGCTGTAATCAATTCTGATTATCAGTGATTCATGAGATAAGATAGACATCATCATTTTTATATCGATTTTATTTATTTTAATTAGATGACGATAGTTGACAACTAGTCAAAGATCAAATAGAACAAGATAAATACAAGAAATTGAAATTATTTCTAACTAAGTTCAACATTTTCTTTCTTATTATTATATTCAACAGGGGTAAAGTAAGCTAAAAGTATTGTTTTGTCGTCTACGTCTACATATAATACTGATTTGTTGATAGATAGAAAAATGCATTAGGCAATCGATTGAAGAGTAGCATCAATAATAAAACAATAGGCTCAGGAAAAGAAAGATAGATCGATCATGGCAGCGAGAGGGAATATGAGAGTAAAGAAGATACAAATAAATGCTAGAGTAAGATCAAGACAGACACGCAAACTAGTAGATAATGGCTAAAGTCTTTCAACAAATTAAATAAATAGCATGATATTAAACATCGATGTCTCATATTAAACAGAATTGATTGTCTTTGATATTTAGGTAAACAGTTCTAAGTAGTTATCAAGTTCAAATGTGTGCATAAAATAATTAAAATACTATGGACAAAAGGCGGCTGTCTTTTAACCTACCGTAGACTAACATCAACTTGTTCTTATTATCGTCTCGTCTATTTACCCGCTTATCTAAATATTACTCATCATGATTTCAATAAATTAAAAAAAAATCACTTCTTACCTATCACTACATCTTTAATCACCTTAGCCATTTTTTCAATCCCCTTTCATGGCTATTATAGTCAGTACTGGCTAATATTTCAGTTATTTCACGTGAATCAATCAAAATTAATTCGTATTTTAGACAAAAAATAGGTATAATTGATCATACGCATCATTCAAGTCTATCCTAATCAACAATCATAAGTTTATTTCCCTTAAAATACTTGATCATTATTTTTTATTTCCATCCAATAGTTCAACATTAAATTTATTATAAATTAATTTCATCATTGATCTTAACTATCCTTGCCTCCCATTAGCTTATTTTTTAAAATCATTCATTTGGACAATCTAATTGCTAATGTAATAAATTATTTTTCTTCATCGGTTAAACATTTTTGCCCTTCTCGAACAACGCAAACTTAATCGAATTACTTTCAATGCAATCGAATCAATCTAATTAAATTTTCTATCATTAGATTGACAGAATTGCAACTGTAATTTTTACTTGCTGTTGACCAAGAGAAAATTGACAAGCAATAGAATTAAAAACCTAATCAAACGACGTCAAAAAAATAATATTTTCTTTCATTTTAATTTCACTGAAGTTAATGATGTTAGCATTAAAATTTTCTAATTTCCTTCTCGATATTCCAGCCTACTACATCCTTAAATTATCACCCTTTTTCTATCTTCTATTGCGACTAAATTTGATTAATAGTTGTTGAAAACAAATAAATTGCAAGACAGTCAAGTAAGTCAATCAATAATGACATTATCATTATATCAAGTTGAAGAGGATAAGGCAAATACTATGATGATTTTATAAATTCGTACCTATGTGCTACAATACTAAAAAGGATCTATTAGTTAAATAGTCAAATTAATAAAACTAACTTATCTAGCATAGTCTAACTTTATGAAAAGATAAACCCAGTAGAACAAAAGTTATATCACAATAATGACGATTTAAAATGTTTTTTTTCATACTCCACCTCCCCCTCATTACTATGTATACTGTAGGTAGTTTTTGATACATTTTTATTGAATAATGTTGTCATCAGTAGCTATGAATTACTACAGTTGATAGATAATTTGGACTATAATATGTAGCAATCAAGACTAAAATATCAACCAATTCATCTGATAATAGAGTTTTCATTAAATTAATTTATAATGGATAAAATACGTCCGGTAATAAGGGTGTTGTACAACAGTAGAAGTAACATTATTCTACTCTATCATGCCATCATTCTTCATTAACTGACCTTTCCTGAATTTGGATAATATACATAATACAAAAGAATAATAGATCAATGAAAGGAAGACACTAATGAAATAAAACTAAAACATCTTCATCTATAATAACAATACTTGTCAGTTAGCTATAAATCGAATGAAGATTACATTATCATCATTATAGTACTAATCACCTAAAGGTAAGTTTAGATGACAATAATTACATTTATTAACGAATAAAATAGGTTAACTTAAAGTATATAATGGTGAAGAGATGAATTGTCGAAAGTTGAAAAATTAATTTTTCTCTAAAAATGGTTGATGTTACGCTGTGAGCTAACCGGTGCATCACATTTCTCATTTATATGTATACTCTCTACCTAATATCTTAACCGCTCGATTACGACTATCAAATCATTTACTTCAACAGTAAATGATAATTATAGTAAATAGTTGTATTCAATTTTATTGTTTCCTTAATTATGACTATGTGTACTGTCACTTATTTATTAAACAAGTTCTTTCTTTTCTTCTGTTATCCACATAATTGTTAAAACGATCAATTGCGCCTAACGACTAATTCATTTTATCTATCAATTAAGAATAAACTGTTGTATTCCTTCGGCTAATATAGCGTGATCCACATTTCTGCCTATAAAGTACCAATTCCAAATATAAGAGAAAAAGGGAAGATAACTTTAGCTAACACTTAATTTAATATCAAATGCATTGAAATAAGGATATATTCTAATCGGAAACAGGTCGCATAAATAGCAATAGGAGAAGAATTATCATTATTACAATAATTAATGATTGTATTTATAGAAAAAAATTAATATCGATAGAGAAAGAAAGCCGTAACTGTATATCTTGGACTTTGATATCACACAGAGCGGACATACTAGATAATGCATGTTGCCGACATTAGTATGCAACGATAAAAAATGCTGTGGTAGTATTGATCAATACAGAGCTTGACACGGAAAAATAGTTACAATCGTAATAAACATTAATGTCATAAAAAAGATGTAAAACGTATTTAAGAATCGCTTCGATCTGTATAAAAAATACTTCACTATGGTAATACTGTCAACTGAACTTGTCTTAACATGGAAATATAAACCAATTAAAATAAAACATAAGTAATCGAGTGGTAGAAAAAACTTTCAGTGTTACAACGTAAACACAATAAGAAATCGTTATTGTGTGCTAGAGTTTTCCGTCTAAAATAGCCACACCTACTAGTAAAGCTATGATTCAAGTTAATAATCGAGTTTAGATGGAGGGAAGAATAATAGTAATTGAGCCTGATTCGATTGATTACGGCTACATATTTACGATAAACGGGGTGGAGTTACATAATGCAGTAGATAGCCGTTAAACAGAGAAAGAAGATAAAAACATTTAACGAAGTTGAGTAGTATGATATTAACTTTTCTACCTTATGTATTATATATATCAATTAATGAGGAATTCTATCAAATATAAACTATACTATGATCAAAGTTAATAGTAAGAAGGTTAAAACAGCTTTCTGTCGTCAATATTTCTACCAAACAAAGATAACTAACATAATATTTGCCGTATCTGCGTCAACATTTAAACTTTGATGTTCACTCCGTCAATTAAATTTAATTAAATAGTCGTTTCCATCTATTAATTAATTGTTTCAATCTCGATAATAATAGCATAAAGTTATGATAATTAAAATAGACTACAGTAGGCGCCATAGTGCAAACATCAGTATGAATAGAGAAAACAAAAAAATGCGAAATCGATGAGACGAAAAAAACATCGCATCACAGTTATTAGATTTAAGAAGCTGCTAATAAAAAATAACAATAACAGCGATTACGCTATTGTGTGATATAATCATAATTTATTTCTAAACTAAGTTTGTAATAAAAACGTGTAATTTTAACTAGGATAACACAGTAATGCATTGAAATAAAGTAAATTAAATCATAACCAATCGCACACTTAGTATATATATATCATCTTGATACAGTCTTAGCTGAAGATAGAGCTGATTTTCCAACTTACGGTGTAGAAAAAACTGTAGACACTAGGCGATTTCCATACATTATTATCAAATTAGTAATCTATGTGCACGTATATATGTTATATATAGTACTTGTCGCTCCTTTAGTAAAGTTTGAAAAGAATTGAAGTAATAACAATATGTTACTAACAAAACTTCGTGATGACATAATACGATTTGGAGCCCTATTGAAATGCTAATTTACTTCATTATCTCCCCTAATTTGGAGTAAATTGGCACTAAAGTGAGAAATTATCCTATATGTATTTAAATAGACTCTTACCATTTCAACTACTGTATTGCAGTAATATCTATAGGATATCATTAAATGAAAGATCAATCACCTGATATTAAATAGAGGTCATCAAAAATAACCTTCCTTAAATAAATGTAATTCTACTGTATTTACGGAGAAGACACGAGTATATTTAACTTTATATAACTGGTAACTTGTTTTTATCAACGCTGTACAGAATTTAATGAAACTATAAGTACTGCTAGTTCAACCGCATTAAGAATATAGTATTGTAAAAATTGCGCATTTACGTTATTTATAAATTATACTATATATAATACTGATAGTGTAAATACTGAGTACTGCATCTTTGTAAGGCTGCAAAATGTCATATTCATGTTTAACTTTAATGAGGAATCATTAAGCGACAGTTTACTCTAACAAAATAAATAATGAACTAAATTAGCTTGTCACACAATAATTGTTTACGCTATTAGCTCTTCAACTAACATTTTATTTATCCTTTGGACTCATTAAGTCCAGCAATATAATTAAATTTTCTAGTATTAATATACTGGATATAATAATTGTAATAGGATCGAATATAAAGACTGACATTAACTAGGTGCATTTGCTACAATGGAATAGAACCTGTAAAGTTCTGCATGACTTACCGATAAAAACTAATTTGTTGATTCTTCTTTCATTTTCTAACCACTCCGTAGTTTCTACCTTGTCATATAATTCATACACAGCTTGGAATAGTATACGCTTATCACAACCCCTACTTGATAACTGACCCTGCGATATCAGAACATCAGATTAAATTTACTGTATTGGTTAAGACGCTCGTTAATATTCGAAAAATTTCTTTCAAAAGAAGATAAATTAGAAATATAGTACTATAGTACTGTATAGTAACTATTAAAAGAGAAGAAGATGGAAATTTCTCATCAAATAATTGAGAGGTTGATTTGATTACAGAACTAATAGATCACCTCGATTTCATTATCTAATTCGATTACTGATCTTCTTAAGTAATTATTATGGCAGTAGCAAATAAGTCATTATTTCTGGTCAGATATCTTGGAAGATACCGTTTGATACATATTGCTGCAAATATACTAGATCAATGCCTGTCAATTTCCAGGAAAAAATTAAAGCTAATTTGATCTATGCGCCTAATCGAAGTTCCTGTATTAATTATCCAAAATGGTTCCAACGTTAACTTAATAATAATATAATTTTTACTGAATAAAATAATCACTTTCAGTAAAAGATTCAAATGAACTGCTTCCAGCTGAGCGATATTCGCTGATTGATATAGCAGGAAGGTGATAATACATTATACTTTAATATATATAAAATCAATTATTTCCAAATAAGATCACATTTGATATCGCTGCAATAATATAGGATATATGATATCCGTTACAATTTAATTACGATAAGCATATATAACAAGCTATACCCGTATGCTGTACTATTTAGCAACTCTACACGTATGAATTTGGTGTTATGCTACATAAGTTAATTTAATGATGTTACTATATAGTATCACACTCATAATAGTGATATAAATCTTTTAATTAGATAATAATAGCTCAATATGCTATACGAAATTAAATGACACACAGGAGAGACTAATTACTATAAGATGTATTTAGCGCGTATAGAGTATAGGTTATTTACAGAATGAATTGTATAAAAATTTATTTAATTCATGAATTTGTTAAATCTGCATGCACGAGAATTAAATGAAGTATTAAAATTTATGAAAAGGACAAATTAGCTGGGCAAATAATGCCAATTGAATGCAAAGACGACGGAAGAAAAACATTTTTAAAAATGGTTATTGATAGACGATAAAAATATATCATTCCTGAGTTACCTTACAACGCAAAATTTCCATTACTTCATTGTTTTTATTTTTGATGTTTTTTTCCCATAGTAAATCCTATGAATTAAGATGATCGCAAACTAATATTTGATATGCAAGTATAACAGAAAGGCTGTATTTATAAACCAACTTTAACTAACTATTACATTTCTAACCTGCAACCATGTCTCTAGAGGTTCCAAATCTATATTTCCTTCGAATTCAATCAGAGCGGTGCTGACATTCTTGAAAGAGAAAAATAATCACATCAGTTGAGAAACGCATTGACTATACAAGTTTCAGTTCATTACAGTTTCTATGTTAAAACCGTACTAACTTGCTCGAGATGATTACTTATACTGGTAGAAGTTGTATCCTTATCAGACCATCTACTGGATAGAATTTCTAACCCACTTAGATAAATAAATTGATTTTATCCTTATCGCTTGTAATTTTATTTTTACAGGGCAAAATATTTTATTGAAGCCACTCACTTGTCTTTCGAATCAAAAGCGTGGAGGTCGAGAATTGAATTTAAATCAACCCTAACAGTACGATCATATATGGGGCACAGTTATCAACACATGATATACGTTCGACTTAGCTATACTAATGTATGATCTGCCAAAACCAAACAGTTATAGCTAAAACAACCAGTTTTTATATTACCTTGACCGTTTAGTTGCTATAATGTTAGCAAAGCTGTTCATGGACCTGCATAGATACAATACACAATCTCAATTACGTAAAATTTTGGTTGGAGGGGGGCATTGGATGTATACGAGTTAAAAGGCACCTGATACTTGATCTCAACTTTACTAACTCGTCTTCTTCTATTAGATCTGTTTTGTTGACAATCAATAAATCAGCTAAAGCTATCTGTCTGGAGATATTAAGACATGAAAAGATTAGATTTTCAAGAACAAAATCTATCTGAAATCGAGATGCATAAAACTACATTTAGAACCTCCATAGTCGATGTTATAATTTAGATGCTATTTTTTACGTTGTTTATATTACACTGTGGTATAAGAATGAGTTACCTGACGCATTCATTTATTATTCCTTTGGGTCTTTCTTCACCTAAACTCTATTAAAGTTTATCGATATCACTTCTACGTCTATCAAGCAATATCTATAAATAGCTCGTTGACACGATATTTTACTGTGAATCATAATTTAGTGTTGAACTAACCCTAAGGCAATTTTTACCGTCAATTAACGTTACAATGCCTATACGCGTAAATAGGAAAATAATAGTTAACTAATCAAGTTTCAACCATTACGTAGTGAAATTTAACAAAGTCGTTACGATCAACAACTGAATACCGTCTAAATAGATCTCAGATCCGAGTTCACTATCAAGCCAGAAGATTGATGCAATGGGGCCTAAGGTAAATCAAAATTGATTAGTGCAATTTTTAACATATATATAAGTGCTTGGCACACCTAGGTAAAGTGTACATATGTTCGTATATAGTTTATCTACGAAAGAGAAATCGGCTTCTATAAGAAAATATCACCTGGATCTGCAAGGCCAGTTGTTTCGAGTAGAATATAATCGAATTTTCCTTTTTTTTCCATCAAATTCTCAATGGCTTTCACTCCAGAATCTCTATGGTTTTAACGATCAAAATTCGAATAAGGGTACATATTCGACATATGAGATATTTGTCTACGCCTCTCATTCAAATTTGCAATTATAGTGTACTATCACGAGTTTAAGACAGATTTTTGCCATTGACAAGCTTATATGATTTCTCTATTTACTGTTCTAATCATTTTGTGATTATACTAACAAATAGCGAACCATATACGTAAAAAGAATTAATTATAAATGTGGTGTCTTTACTATACGGGGGCTGGACAAAGCATAGTTTGTTTATACTCACTTAACTGAACAGCATAAACACCCGTTGCGCAATTCTAACCATTCTTCAAATAACTCTCCAGATTGTCCAACAGACATTGATTTTTCGATGGAGTCGCCTGCAGTATTTTTGAGTAAATAAATGATATGATCATTATTTCGTTATCATCAGAAAATATCTACATATTTTGGTAGAATAATAGATAAGCAGAAATTGGTGTTGCAACATCTTCATTCCCTAACTTGCTAGCACAAACTTAGCTATAATTTAGCTGAAGTGTAACATTACAATGATTGCATGCTGCTGTAGTAATAAGGAACTAAGGGTATTTATAAATAAAATGTGACATTGTATTGCAAATTATTCTATCTATGCGAGCAGCAACAAATATTAGAGATTTGTTGGAGATATTACCAACATTTTCATCTAGCACAGGGCTATACCATTCCAAAGTTATTAAAATATTATTGAGTAACGCGAATGATTGATTACTAAAATATTGTAATATCGCTTCTTATATTAATAGCACGATAGAGTTGCCTACCTAATCGACCTCAATATTATCATTGATAGGGAAAAGTAAGCTAATTTTAAGGTGCAAATAACTCATAAACTCATTGACAGCAGCTACCAAGGTTCTTAAAAATCAAGTATAACTGCTAGGTGTACCAAAGTTGTTTGCAAAATTAGTACTTTTGCAATATTATCCATATTAAAAAGGCAAGATATATCATGTCCACTACAGATTGTCGACCGTAAAACAAGTTTGAAGTGCTGTATTAGATGTAGCATTAGTTTTATTTTACTTGAAATGTAGCTCCGGCCTTTAATATAATAAAAAATTAACATAATCCTTTCGTGAAGTAGCTCACCTTGGCCAAATTCATTCATAATAACAGCAATTCGTCGGTTATGTTGTTCATTTAAGATGTAATTCAGTAGAGTGGTCTTTCCTGCGCCTGCATTAATCGAAAGCACAAGTCAAATATACGACACGAATCTTATGGTAAATTGGGAATAGCGTGAGTTCTCGTCAGCTTCTACTTTTATACCTGCAGTAATGCAAATGTATGGAATCGTGACTGGAAACATTTTGTAATAATCAGTCGAGTAATAACATTCTGGTTCTGCTACTTCGCCTACTAGTATTATTGTACTGTTGCCTCCATTGTGGAGGAAAAGATAGGTACATATACTGAATCGAATGTATGCTTGTATGCAGTATAAACTTTGCTGTCTGATCCTATTGCTACATCTAGACCAATATCGTTTCAGTTTAATTCAAAAGTATGAAATTACGTCTACAGCACATTGATCATGATCAATTGAGCATTAATTTAGTATTGCAGGTGTAAATCTATTCTAGTACCTACAATACATAGTTTAAAAGAAGAAGATCTATCTTGCAACGTATTTCTTACAATGGATGAAATAATGCTATCTGCAATCTTCAATTTGCATGGACTATGCGGTCTAGTAATGCAGATGGCAACAAGATCAAGCATAAGGGTACATCTCCACCTCGTAAAAATTTATGATAAAGCCAAGAACTAATATCTCTACTTTAATTCTATCATGCTCTTTACAGACAAGAAATGTATCATATTTTTTTAATCCATGAAACATTACTGGCATTGCAAATAGTATTCGTAGTCCAATTTTTACTATACAGAGGTAAGCCTATACTTTATTGTCAAGGATAACTAAAATAATTTTGCAGTTTGTGATTTTATGGAGTCAAATGGAGCATAGTTCTTACTAGCTTCATTCTGTTCCTTTATGCAGTCCTACGAAAGCATTCTATTTAGTCTACAGCAGGTCATTACAGATATTATCAAAGACTCTTTCTGGTCAAATCCTACAATAATACTGCTGTAATGATATAATGTAAAGTAGAACATGGAGACCTAATTTCAATTGACTGTCAATAACAACTGCAACTATTTACACATTATAATTGGTTTATTCCTTGCTGCACTTCCTATTTTATCACTTTGCAGTATAGAATCCGGTGAAATGACTCTTAACAGCGTTAGGATATCAATTTACCCAAATATCCAGTAATAATAGTCACAGGGATTTTGCTACCATCGTCTTCGACTAATTCTGGACAAGCTTCTTCTTCATCCATGGTGGCCATTTTCTTCATGGAATTCAATGTCGATAACGATGTAACGGGATGGTTGAATCGTCACTAGTTCGATCTACCTTCGCTGATATGTAGTGTACGCAACAGTAGATACAACATAAGGAAGTTTATAGAGTCAACGATCTCCGATTATTTTCGTACCGATTTCCTCCCATTTTACAGTATACTGCACTGTACTGGACAGTGTACAAAGTACTGTATAGTCTGTACAGTACTGTAAGTCATAGCTCTGTCATTTCGGTGCATCTGTCTGTCAGTCTATCAGATGTCTTTCATCAAAGAGCTCACTGCAAGTAGGCTATTTTCTTCTGGCAGTCCATGAGAGGACTCGAGAAATAATTTGTACTTTCTCCCTCGAACTCTTAAGCTCTCTCTCTTCCTCCTCCCCCAAAAGACGTTCTTCTTTTTTCGAGTTGTATATCTATTGTAAATTAGGAGAGACTCAGTGGCTAATAGCTCTCACGGATGCTCATAAGTTATAACCCGAGACGTGTGGCTATATAGGAACGCGCTGTTCGTCTTTCGGTTCTAAATAAGGTTCTTCTCTTCCCTCTCATGCACGCGCAATTCACGCTTTAGCAGTGAAAATATTACTGCAATGATTCACTGTTTATGGTATGCATTTGAAGATTATCAATGTGATATTTGTATTTATACAATTTGTATGGTCGTCTGTACTGTACACCATGTCTATACCTAGAATGAACTCTCAACCGCAGTCTTTTATGCGCTGAGGTAGCTACCGGTATGAATGCCGATTAGCTATAATAAGAATATGAAGGCACTCGTAATAAGGTGTAGTCATACAGAATGTGCAACTGCAATGTTGTATCTTATCCTCGAATGTTATTCCAACGCTACTGCAGAAGAAGATCTTAATTTATAAGATTAAAATAGGATGGTGCCCTTTGGCTGTAGAAATGCTTGCACAATCTTACGATATAGCATAACAGTTGAACTGTTCTCGCATAATTTCCGAATAATGTTAATTCTAAGCTATTTACTTTTTGGCAAATGCTTCGTTTAAAATGCGCGATTCCGGCATTTTTATTCCAAAATTGTACTGATAGCAATCAGTCACTAATATACTAAAAATTGTTATACTTCTCGATCTATTGCAACTGACAGATGCTAAATGCCAGTCGTATAGGTCCAATATTTCATAGTTCAATGTAATAATCAATATTACATGCGTATTTCCAAGATACTGAGCAACTGCACGTTGATTGTCTGCGCTTCAGTTGTTGATTAACAGCTTTGGAAAGTACTCTATCGTTACTGTTAAAGCGGATCAAGAAAAAAAGGGCTAGCAATAAGATACAATTCTACCTCGCTTGGATTCCTATAGGTGAACAAGATGATTCCTCAACCATACCTTTAAATTGTTATCGTAGAAGGCGTTCCTTTCCCCTCCGCAATTTTATTTGCAGGTACACTTGTGACGATAAATTTTATCATCGTATCCGGTACAGTAACAATAAAATTTACTTATTATAAACTGCATTACTGACTAGTGACTACTGGAAAGATTAAAAATACTGCTTTATTTTGTATCGTAGTTGGTATAAAATATGGAAACTTTGCAGTACAGTACTGCATATTCAAAAAGATCTTCACTTTAATAAATTTCTTTCACTCGCATTGTGAGTGATGGAGAATTAGGGGTAATTTTCTAGAAAAAACTTAGATACAATCAATGAACTTCATTATCGTCGACATTATACCTACATGAAAGATTGGTCTAATTCATATTTGCCTCAATGAGTCATTCACTTAGTTTGTTACCTGAAGCTGTGTGTTGCTATCATATTCACCAAATTTGAATTATTTCAACTGTTAATATACGTGTATATTTGGCATATTATATAAATTATTATTAAACAAAAATAATGAATTGATAGGAGTAAATTAAGATTTGTTTCTCTACTGTATAGGCTGATTGTAAGTGACTAGTTACTAGGGTTCGCTAGTCCCAGGAATTAACTCTTTCATCAATTACTAGCTAACATACGTTTAGTAGTCTATCATTCAGTGTTAAAGCAGCAATCTAAAAGTGTCTCAGAAATGGGTTTAGGAGTTTATTACTACGATTGACTAAAGATCCTGAAATTTTACTCTTTAATCAATTATCCGTCAAGATGTACGTAGTAGTCCACGATTTAGAGTTGAAGTAGCAATCTACAGTGAAATATCAGAGTATAGGTGTCACAAACCAACTTCGTGACAAGGATAACGTAAAACAAATCTCTAAATCTCTATAGTCTCCGGGATTCAGTATCCCTACTCACAAGAATTTAGACGCCTTTGATTCTACGTTAAAACAACTATACAATTGAGAACTGCTTTATTCAACTATCTGACGGGTTTATATACCCTTCTACAGCAGCTAACATTCACAAGTCATCTTATAAAAATACTTGGGTGAGAACATCTACTAACTAGTTTTTCACAGTCGGACTACAATATGTCCATTCACAGAATCATTTCAGCTCACATTACAGCACAGCAATAAATTTACTGTAACACATTTATAATTAGAGTAATTCCTATTGTAAGTAACTAGTTGTAATATAATATCACTATATTATATTAACCAAATTTAGATATCTATTTCTTCACGGTAGTTCGCACCGTGACAATAGGTTGGCTAGTTACTATGATTCACTAAAGATCCTGGTATTTTCCCTTTAATCAACTGTTAGTTAGATGTATTTATGATTCCGAGTTAAAGCAGTAGTGTAAAAGTATCAAAGAATAGGTTGACGGCTAAATAAAGGTATGTAGTAGGCTATGATACTCTAAATCTAGTACTATGACCGCATTGAAACCTAGCTGAAAAATTACATAACGGTTCATTAACTATTAAATGATAAGTAATAGGGTAATGGTGCTTTTACGGAAGGATAATAAGCGCGTATTGTATTAGTTAAATCTAGAGAAATAGGACATGGGGGTTATGTTCTAAGTAGCTTCTCTCTCGTATAGTTACGTATAGGTACCTATTAACGGAAACATCGCAAGTAAAAGAGTAAAGGTACCATATTACTAGTATATTGATAAATATTTGGTAACGCTCACTATCAGGCAGACTTAACTAGGGGATCTATCCGCGTATTTGTAAAGCTTGAACAATTAGCTAGAATAAGATAAATCAGGCCTTCGATAATTTGATTCCATTTACAACACGATCGTGCACACTGGACACCGTACAGTATGGGCAATCGGATCAGTCAGTTCCTGCTAAATCAATTTTCCTGCAAAATAAATAATTTATATTCTGCACCTGCCCAAATCACTACTTTGCTGGGGTTTTATCAACTTTTATTAGCATGATTACATAACGACATAGTAAAGAATGTCCCTAAGTGATATGTTTCCATGGTTATATATGTATGTAGCACAGCTTTGGCTTCCCATAGCTCATATGAGTCGTCCACGTGCGCACCCTATGGCGCAAGATGCATCTACCAATACGACGATAGTGCCTGTACTGGTGATGATTTATCCAAATACCAGGCTTAACAGTATGATTTTTCTCCATGATGGTTGATGATGACAAAATGTTTACTTTTAATATTTTCATCTGAAATTGCTTTACAAATAACAAACTAATTTAAACTTCGCACCCTTCAGTTAAGTTTGACCGTAACGTCACAATCTAATTTTAGTCTATGGCTATTTTGTTATTGCTATAATCATTTTGGCGATTCTGATGTTATCAATATTGATATCTCAAACTAGTATGAGTTGGTTGAAATGATACAAAATATGATGCCATCATGTTGTTACGCCGTTTTATTCTATTTAAATCGCCGATCAACAGCCCCACTTAAAATTATTTTTGTTTTATCAAAATTCATCTATGCATGTTCGATATCTTATGTAGAATAAACAGGTTCAAAGTTACCGAAAGCTGTTTATCAATTCGGAATAGATCAACCAATCATACCTTCCGCCTCTGATTTACTTAATTTTAATATCATAATTTATTAATTTTTTCCAACTGTCAACAAGATCGCACCACCTAATTCTATTAGCTATTAGATAAATTTACATTTTAATTCGTTTGATATTATCTGTCTTGTATGTCGGTAAAGGTTTATATATTCCAAGTACCTTTTGTTTATAAATAATGACAGAACTACTTAATCCCTTAATGAAAATTATTTTTCAAAGCTAATTCAGTAGGTTAATAGTTAAGATCCTAATCAGACCTTGTTTGTAACTCTTAGATAGTAGGTATTTTTAAAGGAATTTTGCGCTGTATGAAACGATTGATATCATGAATATGTACGATTAGGGTAATTATTGTAAATCAAAGGTTATAACCTTTTCAAAATATGAATTGGCCTTTTTAGTTTATCTACCATTTTCCGTTAGCCTTTTAGATCGCTACTTTATTTCAATAATCTACGATTCACACTGAACTCTTCAAAAACATATACAATTAATCAATTTCAAGCCTACGGCTTCCGCAATAAGACATGCGTTAAAGACTACTCATTATACGCGTATATCAATTCTAAACTATCATAATATAAACCTTGCCTCATGCTCTTTTTGGAAAACTTAAGCATTTAGATTAGCAATAATGTTTCTACCTTATTCAGCAAAAATTATAAATTCAATAAAATGCTGTACATGGAACTTTATACTCTAGCACAATAGTAATGATATATAGGGAGTAAATTTATAACTTCAATGCAATGTTTGATTTATATACAATGCTATTCTAACAATTTGCAAAATATTTATATTAATCTTGGTTAACAGTGCAATCTTCAAGAGCGACCGTCATTATAGAATAGTCTTCCTCTGATCCTTTCTCATTGCTAATGCAACTGTTATTTATTTTATTAGAACAGCATACATCTTATTCAGTCAAATATTTCATTTTGTTGACCTAATAGTAGACTAATTTTTTCTAATTGACAATCTAAAGAAAATTTTATTAGAAAAAATTTGATGTTGTTGTCTACCTACCTATTAGCATATCCTATTGACATTTTACGTGATTGATGATGTCATTGGCAAGAATAACAAATATCTGATTTGATTAAAATTGAATAGTGTCGTTGGTAGCCATTGTGATGACGTCTGATTTTCCAAATTAGATTATGGTAATTCGCCCTTATATTAGTAAATTTCTATAGTCTTGTTGGAAATTATCTTTGATCCCTTAGTAAATTAAGCTTGTACATTTTTATCTAATAAGATGGAAAATACATTTTCCCCGGTAATTAAGTTAAATTTTTGTTGTGTCCTACAACATTGCTTTCTGTAATAATATTTAGTTAGGTTGAGGACAGACGGCGACGGCTACGTAATTTCCAATTGTTGAGCATTACTCATTCTTTATGATCTGTGCCAGCACAGATGCTATGTTAATGTGTTGATTCAAGACTATAATAACTGATATATTGTACTTGATAGTATGAAATTTTACCTTTCGTTTTTATAAATGGCCAACATCAAGTTAACTTGATGAAATAAAGACCATAAGAATAGATATTACGTATCAGCACTCGTTTTTAGTTTACAAATTAAAACCAGAACATGTAGACTGAGCTTAGTATGTCTAAAATTTAGTTCATAGAAATACTACAATAGGAGTATGTTATTATCTCATTAATAGCCATCTAAAGTTACTTAAATCTATAGAAGATTTTACTTCACAATTCTGAGAAGTTGTAAAATTTGTAAATCATGGTTGAGTTTTTCCTCACTCCCTCTTAACAACCCCCAAGAAGTAGAGTTGCGTCTTACTTATATATGTAGTACTACTCTTTATTGGTGAATGAACTAATTGAGATTAACCGATTAACCAATCTAAGAATTACGAAACTCGTAGTCATGCTGTTTAGCATTGATGTGATTATGCTTATCATGTCGTTTAAATCACAATTGATAATTGCATTGAACACAGTTTACGAAAGCGACACTTCCGGTAGATTCATGAGAGGTAGAAACTCAACAACTTTAATATATCAGAAGTAATGTATTCCTTCTTGCATGATGATAATAGGTAAATTTAATTGCCAGTATGGCAATATTGATAAAATTGTAATTAATGCAGGGAGTGCTCTATCATTATGTTGGTGTCAAGTTGAATATGTGGATAATATTAGCGCTCTCGTAATTTGCTATAAACAAAATTTCACAGGCAGAAATTAATTATTATTTACAGACAACATGGCCATGTTGAACAATTAAGGGAGTGAAATCTTGTCTACTGTGTTAGGATGAAGATAGACAATATTAGCAGGTAAGACTATGACACCAGGGCAACTTTTTCTTATCCTGTACGTAATTTTTTTCCTTTACTACTTCAATGTAAGATTTTATTTGTCAATAAGTGAGAAACAATGTTCCTCAGATCAATAACTTTGTCTTATAATTGTAGACTAGCTTGACAATTCAATTAAGCCTATACAATTAGCTGTTACCGACTTCATTAACGATATTAATAACTTGCAATTATACTCAATCAAATGACTTAAGCATTGTACCAAAGCATTGTCATGCTTTTAAGTAAATAATCTACATAATAATTTCCTTAATGTCATTTTTTACCTTAACAATCAATGACACTAGGGATTCATAAAGGCCACGTTATCCTATTTTTCCATCGTTTTTTGGAAGAGATTATGGTCTACTATACTATCGTTCACTACTGTATAGGAACTTATTAATCTAACGTTAAGTGTTTATTCCTAATAGAGGACGAACTATAGGGCAATAACATTTAGTAAGGATACAGAGAGTACTTACTTCGCCTGGGGTAGATACGATAGCTTAAATAAAATTTAGACTTCAGTTAAGTTCATGATCTTAATTTAAAATTATCAATTTTTTTAAAACTTTCTTACACAGAAATTAAAGCTAGGCTTTTGCTTCTAATTACTTGTGTTACCAGTTAATATCAATTGTAAAGTAAGGTCGGGATTAAAGTCAATAGGATCATTGGAGCCATATTGTATTAATATATTTTTACTTGTCCGCTAGTTCTTTCTGTAAGAAAGATATTCGATCAACCTTACGCGTAATGTACTGAATCTTGGCGTTGGATGGCACTAACAAGAGTTCTATAAGACTTAAAATCAAGATTAAAGTATTGGCTCACTTTATTGCTAACACAAAGTTAAATTGGAGCTAAACTTAAGTAAATCTTTATTAACTGGAATGGTTACTAAGGATAACAACGACAACATGGCTACATCACGAAGAGCATAATTGGTTGGTTTAAGAAGAGTAGATTCCCACTATTTAATTTAACCTTAAAGTCGTTTCTTCAAGATCCGTTACCGTACCGGTAGTGATTTAGAAAGAGGCCCAAGATTTTAAAATCTTACAAGACATAGGGGCGATAATCAAGAGGTATCGAATCAATCCCTCCCAGTTAAGTTAACATAAAAAAATCTGCAATAGTGTGAAGGTTAAAAAAAACTTAAGAAGATATTAATAGATTCACTTTATCAATAACAACGGAGAAAAAAGTGAGGGAGCTTTCTTGTCTTTTAACAGTCATCTTTCAACCAGTTATTGTATTTCCCACTTGGATTATAATCTCCACCATCGAATTTGCTTCTAAACTACGCATCTTTCTAGAACTGAATTCATTATTTATTTATGATACTACAGCTCTTGATTTACCAATGTCTGAGAAAAGATTGCGACATCATTAATCGTAACTGAAATTTTAGAACATTTCACTAACCAACTAGTTGCGGTGAATTAGATAGTAGCGGTTCATAGCATAATGCCAGCATTAATTCATCAGGCTATCGTCGATGGAAGAGTCCATCAATTGCGGCTACTAGCCCGGATTGGAGCTAATTTGAACGCACGCGAAGAACGATATGGACGAACGCCAATTATTACTGCTTCCCTACTCATTAATGAAGATCTAGCTGTAGCTATATGTCAAATATTACTTAAGCATAAATGTGATTGTAACACTAAAGATAGTAGTGGTCGAACTGCGTTAGCACACGTTGCATCTCTTGGTCGTGAAAAAGTTGCTCTATACTTACTGGACGATATTAATATTGATCTATCAGTTACTGACAGCGATGGTAATACGCCATTAATATTAGCTTGTCAATCAGGTAATGCCGTTATTGTAGCTTCTATGGTCAAGAAAATGATCCAATCTAGTATGGATGTTAACACGCGCAATAAAGATGGTTTCACTGCCATTTTGATGGCAGCCAAACATGGCCATCGTTATTGTGAACGAATACTACGACATCAAGGGCAAGCTTTAGTCGATATTCGTGATAATATCAAGTTTTACAATGTTGACGATTGGTTACGTTGGTATGATGAACAAAATCATGCCTGCCAAGGCGGTAATAAGCGATCAATCAATTCTAAAGACAGTAATGGTAAAAAGAATACTGAATTAGTTCGTCAATCAAGTTTTCGTCGATCCACTACAGGTAGGAATTCATCTAGTAAACAGAATAGCCGTGTCAAGAGTGGGAATGAATTACTGCCTAAGATTGACACGTCCTATAAACCATTATCGGGTCGTAGTAGAAGTTCATCCAAAGGAAAGGAATACATTGATGGTAAACCAGGTCTTGCTTCCGGAGTAGAAACTAAATCGACCGTGAACGACGTTATCAATCAACAGAATCGTTCATATACGCCTAGCGAAGTTCATTCCGTACGAAATCCTATCGGAAATGAGGAATTCTATCCGTCACCGTCTCGCCGAAAGCATAAACGCAAGGCTATCGACTTAAATACTCTGTTATCAATTTACAGTAGTAATAATAGCTTTTATCGATAAATTATAGTGTCGGAATGAAATGGGAAACTAAATTGATGTGGAAGAATAAACCGGTATTTTCAATTATGCGGAAGCCTTCCTATGTATAAGATGATACATCCTGTGGACGTATTGGTACAGAATAGCTTGATCCACTTAATCATATGTTATGATCTTTCCCTAACGACTTATATACTTATAGTATTATACGAAATGACTAAAGATGCTAGACATTCTAAATATGGCAAGATAAATAATTCTTCTCATTTTTATAACATTTTGGACATTAAGTTAACAAGCATTTTCATATTCTTCAGGAGACTGAAATAATGGATAACCTTTGGGTTACTTATTGGTTTTGCCTTTCAAGACTTTTAAATGAAACTATACATCATATCAGTTATAGATGGAATGGAATCTATTTCGATCACTATATCATATAAAATATTTAAGATAAAGCTATACCGTAGAATACAATAATAGAATATATCATCAACACTGATTATTTCAGTTTCCGATAGAAACTGAAGTAATCTTCAACCATTTTAATTTCATCTACTCTACTAATATATTTATGGAATTGATAGCAATACCTAACCTCAGCAAAGTCTTACGAAACAGTGGTTTTAATATATTTTTATATAATCCTCTGTGAGTATGATCGCTTATGATAGTAGAGAATCAATTCTTTTATACTTATTCATTCAATATCTAATCAACTGCGTATTATTTGAAGATAAATCGGAATTCGATTTCAATTGTAAAATATGACATCATATCGGGTAAAACATTCATGTAGCTTTGAATGTAAATCTAATCACTATCATGAAAGTATTATTCGCTAATATAGGCACATTTATTTAATTTATCAGTTCTCAAATATTCATGTTATATAATTAAATATATGCGTATATATAAATATGTTTTTGTATGAATATATTTATATTCGTTTATAATTACCATTTATCGGTAGTCAGTAATACTACTTACGTCAAGCTATGCGCGTCTTGTATGCCTTTCAAGACGTATATTAATCATGCCATACTTTATTAATGAGGTTAGAGATGATTTTATAATTAACCTCTATCACAACATATTGGAAAAGCACCCAACTTGGGCGTCTATTCATCTAGTTGTTATATCTTTATCTAATATATAATCATGGTTTTAATGATGATAATTTTGTGAAAGTCTTCATCAATTCACAAACACTATACATGTGATGCTCTTTATCAAAGCTATGATGACATAGAAAGTAAGTTTGTCCAAAAATTACAAATTATCTTGAGCAGACCATATCCGCATTATTACAATATAACCTAATCTCATAATGTTATTACTTATTCAGTAATACATATTATAAAATCAATTACTATTTTCACCATAGTGGATACAGTCTGTTCTAATTTGATCATACATCATTCTTATTTACTTCTCTGAACATATCTGCGTATCCAGTGCCATAATACTATCGTTTATTGATAATTATCTTTCTAACATACTAAATTTATGCAAAGAATCCTATTGACGCTTATATATTAGAGGTGATTAACTTAAATTGAAAAGTAATTTCAAGCAAAGAATAAACCAACTCAATATCTCAAAGTAGCTAAAACTGGATGAAAATTATTTAATTAATATCAAAACAAAGCCTAGCAAAACTAACCTTGAAATTATATAGAACGTTGCTTATTGAATTGGTATTTATATTTCCTAGTTTGCTATTGTTTAGTAACATAGCATAGCAAATTTAAGGAACTTCTGGTTTACGCTAGCTACTTATTTTAATCCTGTTAATCTTAGATAAAATATTCTACAGGTTATTATTATTTAATTCAGTAATTTTAAAATGAAAGAATAATATACTCTTAAAAAAATTGACCATAATGGTTTTTAATAGCAAGTTTACTCTAAATTATTTCAGCTCATCAATCGAAGCACGTAGATTTATAGGATTGGAAGTTGCCCTTGAATGATACTCTTAGAGTACTAATATCGAGCGCAATTGTAATATGTATAAATGGTCCTGGTATCAGTTAAGATATTTCAGGAATTATAAGCTAAATGCTACAAATCAGTATGCTATCATGACTTTATAATTAAATATCCTAATGAAGATCACAATTTCGAGTAACATTGAACACAATGAAATTACTCATGGATGAAATTCCTCAACGAGATTTGGTTAAAATAGATAAAAGCTAATGACTATACTACTGTACAACTATGCTATATATAGCCGGATAGAATAGTTTTATGCACACATTTCACCAACCATAAACATTTCTTATATTCCTAAGGTTTTACTGGCTAATGATATCAAAATCCTGATAAATAAATGATAAGTCGTCTTAATCTTATAACAGCGTGACTGAATTGATTGAGATATCCGGTACGCATTAAGATAATAGTTATTGGAGACCTAAAATTCAAAGCTTTTATAGCATTAATCAAACCTTGAACCTAGCCTTATACCCATAAATTGAGAATCATTAAGAATATACCGGTAGTGTTAAGTACAAATATTATTGTTATCGCTTCATGCTAAGCTATATTTGATCTGTTACCATCATCTTGTAATGGTGCAAGTCAATTCTTTAAATTTTGAAGAAGTTAGATATTTCATTTTCCTGTCTCATTTATTTATAAAAAATATTTAAATAGCAGTTCTGTGTGGTTCTTCCTAGTATACAGTTAGAATAAGTTAAAGATTAAGATAATTACTTGGAGATAGATTACATACAGTATTTACCGCATATTAATAGGCGCATATGATAAGAGTCTGGCATAGGCTGTCAATTTACCGAATACTGTATTTCTAAAAATACTTTTCCACGAATGCAGATCCTTTCACTAGTTGATATTTACTGCTCTTGATAGTGCGTAAAATTTTACTGTAAAGATTGCTCTTTCATGAATTGTTCAAGTAGATGGATATCTGTGATTTATATAACTCAAAATATTGTTATTATTATCGGTTGGATAACTTAACAGTGACATATTTGCTTAATCATCTTGTACTTTCTAAAGTCACTGGATAGCAACTTATGAGTTCAAACTTAGGTAATTCAATAGTGCAAAGATACATAATTAATACTGATAGAAGCTAGCGTTAGCTTACATAGGCGAACCAATTTTGTTGAAATGGACAAAGCTTTGTAAATAGCAAAATATATGTTTAATATAGAATGATAATGGTTGATATTGTGCCATCCATTAATACAATCTACGTCAGAGTGCGAAGTAAAACCATATTGTATTGCACTATTGTCATGCATAAATAAGAATAAATTATTCTTTCTTAACTATTCATTTCTTTAATGATAATTACTTTACTAGAGAAAAATATTATCAACATTTCAATAGATTGTTATTTGTTTAGTTATAGTTTAATTATTGCGTTGATGAATAGAAATTATTTGTCTTTTTCTGGACTAATACACCTACCAAATTGAAATAATTCTGTTACAGTTCTAATATTAAAATTATTTATGAAATACTAGTTGAGCAAATTGATGAAGACACGACATCTACGTAACGTCGTCTATTATTTCATACGCCATTACATATATGCTTCTGACTTTGCTGTTATTATTAATGCTCCCAATTGGGTCTCAATTAGATGAGTTCATTTTAATACTTTGACATTGAAATTCCGTAAAAATATAGTCAAAATAAAGTTAATTATGTAATTATCCTATCCTGCATTGTTTCACTGCATTCCTTTATTTCGTATTATTTTTTGATTGATATCTTCTCCCAGAGTATCCAGTTTAAAGGTGCTATAAATACATAGCTAGCATGCTTTCTACTTTCTACTTAAGTATAGATATGATGTAATAGCCCTTTTATATCAGCGCTAACGGTATCTAATATCGATTAGAGTATAAGAATTTAGCTGGCGAACTTATTCTATTATCGCTAATTCGCTATTGCAACGGAATCGTTACATACTATTTTAAAAGTCAATCGAACGAGTTCAATAGCTTGGTCTCTACTGCATGCAACGATATTAATTACATGTCGTGAGTTACCTACACTATTTTTAGCCATCATCGTGCAATCAATGCTTTCTCTATTGACAACATATCCAAAATAGAAGTTGAGATTCGTAAAGAATATACCAGTGATTAAGAGTTGCATGATTTCGTGATTCGCAAGATAGTAAATTATGTTGCTATGAAGTCATTTTGAATGCTAACAGTCATCATGATACAGTAGAGTAATGACAATATTTTCAATACTGCATAAAGTAATCAATCAGAATGAACTAAATCTTGGAATGTACGCGTATCCTGTGCAAATCGGGTAAACAGCGACGTACCCCAATCGCTGTTAATCGTCAATAATAGCTAGTATACGGCAGAGGCATTGGGGGGAGGGGATATCTAAGTAGGATTAGAAAGTTAGTCCTTTATCGGTTCAATCGATCCTTCCATAGTTTCTGCTCAATCTACCATCGTTTGAAGATATTGATTGATCAATGATGCAAGGGGATATTGCAGTTATTATTGCTCGATCCCTCTTACTCATTTCATCTGCAGCGATTGCACTTGCATCAGCTTTTGCGCTATCGTGTATATATATAGATATGCAAGTACATAACCCAAGCTATCAAGTTTCTTTATTCCAATCAGACCAGAAATTGCAATGGCACAACTCGATATGGATTGACTATCATTTCTTTTTGCTATTTAATCGTTGGCCTTGTGTCTAGGCGGGTCGAAAGTATTTCCGCCATTTTTTACTTCCCGTCACTATGTTGCAAGACCCGACGATCGTGTATTCTGGCGTATTAGTAATGTCATCCATTTTGATGACCGTTTCATACTGTACCATGTAGTGTGATAACAAGTTTGAACGCTTTCTTCCGTCCATAAACTAGTGAATGGGTAGTAGTAGTAGTATAGTCGATTGGATCTTGGATCAACGCGCGACCCTAGTGGTGGTCGCGTTTACCATGCTGTCAGTAAAACGTCATTGAGTGCACAATCATGTTGTAGCAATATAGAGATTACACTAGTGAGGTGGAGCGTATGCTCAGTTAGATGGATTCTTACTCTCATATCGACACTTGGTTGCATTGACTTTTCCATACCTACTTCTATTACCAAATGTCTGTTTCCAGTAGGCTAACTCAAATACCCATCATGACCATCCTATACTATAGTAAGCGTTACCTACTCAAAACATCGATCCATTTTTCCAACTCGGCCCTCAGTTAACACTACACTATTGCAAGTTCTTCTTCCATTTTCAGCCGCTAAATCATTCCTTCAAGTTGAAGAAAGTGGAAAATTAATCTTCATCCAAGTTGTAGAGACCAGATCAGATAGAGTGATCCAATAGTAGTATTGAATGATAGGATTGAAAGCGTTTTTCAAGGCTAATTGACACAGCAACGAGCCATTGCAACGGTAGAGAAGAGTCTTTTCAAATCGGTGTTACGTAGTACGGTTGTCATTGCAACAGGCCTTCAAGTAGAAATTTTTTTTTTTCTCTCACTCTTATTGCAAGGAGATCATGTAATATCTTCAAGGGATTCATTTCTACTCAATATTATTAACCAATCCATCATTACTAGCAATTACTTATTCATCCCAGGTGTGGTGATCAACTTGATTGCAAATTCTTTCTTACGCACTGGATAGCAGCCAACCGATTGTGGCAACATTTCAGCGTCGTGGGGTGCCATTGACTTGGAAAATAATAAAATAATCGCCATATTATTACTCCATCTATTCAATATTAGATTGATAGAGAAAAGAAACAAGCAATATTATAGCTTATAGTCAATGCTGGAATTGTCAACTAATTAACGTACATTATTACATCTTTCAACAGCAATAAAAATTACATATCCTACTGTGCTCAAGTTGGCGATTACTATTGCTATTACAACACCGGTGTCCCAACGTCTTCCCATCATTGGCCATTTTGCATCCTTGCAAAGATCGGTATTTTTGAACTACCTGTTGATAAAATTACTTGACGCAATTCGTATTAACAGAAAAAAAATCTTGGCCTACAAACTCAATCAATTCCAACAACGACAATACTACGCTGTTTATTGAATAGTCATTATTTGCCTACAGCAACTTATATAATTAATACGTTAAACTTGAATTTGAAAAACAACACATACAAAAAATAGAAGCAGAAGTTATCGCCGTTAACGACTCCTATTGATCAACTAAAATAGGGTAATTTATAGTGTAAAGACTAATTCCATGTCTTAAATGCTATTAGTACGCTATATTTGATCGATCTTCTTTTCACTACCATGTCAACCAATAGCTATCTTTATGTTGAATTGATTTTTTTCTCCTAATCTTTTTGATAACCTTTTTTTCATGCAAATGGCTAGATTCTGCTAGATGTGGTTCAAGGTGTAAATCGCTGAAGGAATTCACAAATGTCGCCTTAGACTTGCTATCCAGAAAAATAACCGGAAAACTCAATCTTGCCTTAGCTTTTATGTTTTGTACGAAATTGGGTTAGTTGATCTTTATGAATTAGCGCAACGTCATTTTAATTCGCTTCTTTTAAATAGATCATACGTGTTGTGTTGTACGAGCAATTCTGACTAGTTGTTACCCGATTTTCTCCCTTACCCTGTATAGTTCACTTGCACAGGTTTAACCTGACGAGTAAAAAGTGGAATAGACAAAAATACCTAAGAGTTTAACCAACGCTATCTTATCGACATCGTCGTACCATTAATCGAAATTTCTGTCGACGTGGTGAAGATTAACAAAATTTTGTGAACGATAAACTTGAAATTGATTTGTGGTCAAAATAGAATAATCCGAAATGAAATCCTGGTTTATAATTATTCTCTTGGCGACACTCGCCCAGTCTATTTACTACATTACTGCTTCATCAGCAGAAATTGCACTGTCAAGATTGGATGATGTAGATCACGAAAGTGATGAAGATGAAGAGTCTGCAATGGCGAGACAAAGAGTCATCCAATTACTCAGATCGAAGAAATCAGTCTCATCTACGCGAAAGAGTAACGTCCAAGCACCCAGATATATGTGGGATTTATATAATTCAATCGCTGACAAGAAAACCGGAAGAATTAAAGGTGGTGCTAGCAATTTCTTAATCAAACATGAAGATAAAAAATTTCAGTGTGACCTTATACAAGGCATTCGAACAGCAGATGGAGGTAAATTTTCTAACTTAATTGCACATAATGGCGTAATGATACAAAACAGAATCAATTTTTATGATCGTCAAACTAGTATTGGCTCTGTAGTTTAATTTTGTTATTAGAGATTACCACGAATTGACAACAGACTGACAGTCGAGATGAAGGTTATTCTACACTTTGAACCATAAACAGTTGATAGTCATGTATTAGTATTCTCTAACATGCTCCCAATCGTTCCTACGCTGACGTGCTACCATTAGTACATAAAAATTGTCATGATTTAGTTTGTAAATGGTCAGTCAATATTGTCATCAATTTGACTGTCTAGATCGCTCCTTTTTATTTAAGTGCTTGTGACAAAAAATCGAACAGTATTGACGCTACTTTAAATACTATCAGCTATAATAAGCTTTTATTTCTCGATCGTGGCTTTCACGTTGGTATAGTACAGTATAATAAAAAGGACTAGCGCAGCTTAAAAATTTCTACTTTACGGTATAAAATAATCCAGCGAAGATTGAACTACCGCTAAATCTAGCACTAGTATCTAGCTATACACGGTATAGTGTAAGACAATGAGCGTACGTTTAGCGAAATCTGGCTTCTTCAAGCTATCTAAAATAAATTATCATGCATGTATTCAAGAACAGCAAGGTCTTTGATTGTTAACATATACTTATTCAATCATTACGAAAACCTTACAGTGCTAAATAGCATTACTACTGTACTAACATATAGAGCCTCATGCTGTCTATTTCTTAGAATGTGTAAAAAGTATGACAAATTAAAGACTTCTGATGACACTTCGTTGACTAAACATTTCAACAAATTCGTGTTCAATACTGTAATACAGTATAATCTCTAGTATCTACGCTCAGACTGTAGAACTAAACTCGACAAGATAAATAAGGTTTTCAATCGTGTGGCTTTAGAAGGTTTTAAAAAGTTGTACTCATCGAAATTATAGTCATTAGCGACTGACTGAATATCAGTGTTTATTGCTAATTAATTAATGTAGCGGATGTTTTGCCTCTTCAACCATTTGCATACTCATAAGCTTGGCGTATCTTTAGGTCATTCTTGGTCTCGAGGAGTTGGTCGATTTACATTCAATATGTCCGATATTACCAATGATAAAACTTCAAATCTAGAAAATGTTGTCGCTGCGGAACTTGTTTTAACAAGAAGGCCACTTAATGCTGAGAAATTGCTAAAGCTCCACCTCTTTTATTACGTTGAAATTCATCAAATATTCCACAACAGATCAACACAAGTTGTAGCTAAACATTTGATATACACAAATGGTAATCAAACACAAACTACATTCGATGTATTGACTACTGTTCGTGCCTGGATTAATGATGAATCCAGCAATTTGGGTCTTCGTGTGATTATCAAAACACCGGATTTACTGCTGGTAAAATCTAATGATGTTAGCCGTCAGTTATTTAAGACACGCAGAACAGGTAACTTTAGACCTTTACTGGTCGTTTATAGTGATAGAGGAAATGTTAACGACTATCGACCGCACCATGAGCAAGAAGTGCCCAATATTGAACATCATCGAGGGGTTTTATCGAGAATGGCAAGATCAATAGCGAGTGATAACGACGAAAACAATATGGATGATGATGATGATTCAGATGAAAAGCACGAGCGCACTAAGCGATCTACCGAGCAAAAGTCCAGTAAGAAAAAAAGCAAACAGAAGAAGAAAAGGTCATGCCGGCGCCGTTCTATGGAAATTAAGGTTGATCAAGTTTTTAATAATGACATTATTTTTGCTCCGAAGGTTTTCGAGTCATACTACTGCAGCGGTACTTGCTCATATCCTCTTGGACCTCATTTAAATGCTACAAATCATGCGATTGTGATGGCTATTCTGCACGACCTTAAAGTCCAAGGTGTAAAAGCGTCTCAATGTGCGCCAACTCAATTATCGCCACTAAGTTTTCTTTATGTCGAAGGGAATAAGATTATCATTAAGGAATATCCTGACATAGTCGTAGATGCTTGTGGTTGCCATTAGATATTGAAATACGGATAAGCCAACTCAGGACGTTGTATTCAATTTACATATGATGCATTAAAATTTTAATTTTGCAAGCGAGAAGAAATGATCGACTAAATTACTTATCATTTCTGATTAATTTTAATCAGCACTTCACCCATTCATATAGTAATCATACTAGTGACATCGCTACGTTACACTTGGTATGCTAGTAACTATAACCTCCATGATTTCGTTATGAGTGCTTCGCAAATGCGCTGACTTTGTCAAATTTTATAACTTAGAATCTAATTTAGTTAATATCGATGCACAATCGTGTATACACTGTAATATAAAATGCTATTTACTAAGTTATACGCGATGAAATTATAAACTGTATTAATTTCACATTCTTCAATACTAATAATTGAAGCTAATAGAGATACTATAAATTTCCTTTAGACTTAATCATCTTTGACAAGTCCTGGTAAAACTGGTTACCAGTGAGAAGTTTCGATATTTTGCTATAGTCACGATAGAAATTTCGTCACTATAAGCTTTACAAACTTAGAAGAGCATTACTCATCTCTTAGCTTTTCTATTATAATTGTCGAAACTAAAGAGCTCGCACTATTATCTGTATAACAAGCAATTGTAGGACACGAATTACAACGCAAATCGTTAATTTTCTTACCATCAGTGAAATACATGTTTAATTGTTATCAAGTCTTGATATCATTTTCAGATACATCTTTTCAATTTGCGCTGATGATCGATCTACTGCTAAGAATGAAAATAATCAACAGTCTACTTCATGCCTAAAGTTTTAACTAAGATCCTTGCTGATTAAGTCAATAATTTTATATAAGATACTAATTGCAAGAGCCTCATTAGAAATCATAAAATGGACTGCACTTTTAAATTAACATTTACAGATTTCATTATTTGTATAATTTCTTAATTTAAAAAATTACGCTAGTGCTGGTAATATTTTTAATTACTGTCATTTTTTATCTTCGGTAGCGTACATTGGTAATTCTTTCTGATATAATTTAAGAATGTATTAAAATTTGTAATTTTATGTTTAATGTGCAAGTTAGCAATTTATAAGCTAAAGGATAGATTTCTAAATTGTATAATGTTCCTTAACTTTTTATGTAGCTTCGGTAATTGCAAATCATGCCATACCGCACAGTTCAAATAGATGGCATCTTTTAAGATTAATTATTGTAATATCAAATTATTTACTAAAGTAATATTTCTATTTAATTGATTCATACACGTACAACTTAATAAAATTTTATCTTTCTTTGTTTAATTTTAATGTCCGGGCAGTTATTGTCCGTTATAAATTTGTTTAAATTGTATTCTAGACTTTAATAAGGTAGCCTAAAGGCCACGATTTCAATTCATTACATTTGCTTTTACATTCTTGAAGTGTAACACTTGTTACGCAGTAACTCAACAAAGATGTCTTTTTCTAATCAATTTTATTGCATTATGTTAATTACGCGTAAAAGTAGGATAGATTTCTTACTTCACTTCAATTATTATTTTTGTACAATAGCCTTCTGCTATTTCTAATAAAAGCTTTTAAATCCCGTAGGCACCTTTCGAACAATTAGCATGTCAAAATTTTGAAGAAGGCAAATGCATAACCATTATAATTCTATCTTTCAGTAAGCAAATCTTACTTGTAACGTAACTATATTAAAATTTAATAAGGAATTAATCAGAAATGATATGCGCTGAAATTAATCTACTCGCATAATATATATACAGTATGAAATGCTGTGATATATCCTGTACAATGTACATTACTCCTGTCTAGTATAAAATACCAAGGTAAAAATCGATAGGTGGTACGAAAAGTTTAAAGTAAAAAATGTAGCGTTAAAATCTAACATCGATACAATCTTCACAAGCTAACCGCTTATGAGTCCAATTTAAAATATAGGATAGATCGGTACAGCTACTCAAGTTGTAATTAAATGCTACCATTTAGTATACTATGCAAAGATAACGCAGAAAGAATAATATTTAGCAGTCATAAACTCGCTCCTAGAATACATGTGTGCGCAGGAATGCAAATACTTCGGTGGTTTGGCGAGTAACAATAAAGGTATCTATTGACTTAGTATAGCACAGGCTTGAAATGATAAATATCACACTTATTTGCGGAAGAATGTTCAATATTTAATACTTATCTACATCTTTCGGAAAGTAGGCTGACATATAACTTTGAGGGGTATAAGGCCCAGTGACAATATCTGGATCGATACGTCTGTTATTAATAGGTTGTTTCGCGGCATGATTTTCATTATTTGGAGAGTTGGCTTTTTGTAGATATATCGAATCGATTGGTTTAACATCTGGTCTGTTGGTTACTACGTTCTGGGGTGTTCCACTATTAGCTAGAATATCGTATGACGCATTGCTAGAAATTTTTGTCAACGATGGCTGATATACAACCTAAATGTAATCAAGCATTTTAGTACATGGAATTAATTATATAAAGCATTATTAATTTTATTATAGTAACTTTATTGAAATTATTGGGCATAAATTGGTATCAAATTGTTATTAAAAATTTAAGACTAATAAGTCAATTTTATTTCGTCTTACACTACAGTTGCAGTGCATTTAAAATCAGAAGTAATTGTATGATACTATACATTCATCGAGACAGAAACTTACTTTTTCAAGTTTGACTGTTTGGTTTTGCTGCGGCAAACTTGGCACATCAGTTTGTGGATTAGTTAATACTCCTGTACTTGACTGCAGTGTCTTGGTAATCGGTACAGGCCAATTACGCGGTTGCACATTACCAAGTGCCGAATCACTGTTTGTATTCCGCTTAAAATGAAATACTTAAGTCAAAAAATATATACGCGTACATATTTATCTATTTTCATCGAGTACTAGAAATTAAGAATTATTCAAATGTTGTCTTGCTTACCATATGATATCGTCGGCTGTAGTCGACTGTAACAGGATTACTTCCTGTGTACTTTGAAATAGGCCGAGGCTGAGCAGGTATGCGGGCATCATTCAACATTTTATTTAAATATTCGATTACTACGAATTTAACAATGCAGTAAATTAAATGATTAATTTTGAATTCATTCCAGATATAATTCAAAGTTAAAGCACGACTAACATTGTTCGTTAGTTTTTAATTGCTTTTTGCTCTCTTCCAATTTATCATGATACTTTTCAATTTTGTCATTTAAGGATTTTATCTAAATTTATTAGGCAAATAATAGCTCTTGGGCATTAATACGATAATAATAATCCTTTAAACTGTCTTTTCATTTACGGTACCTCGTTATCCTTTTTTTCTACTACGTCACGGATCGATTGCAATTCCCGTTTCTTAGATTGTAACGATTTTTCCTGTACGATATCAGCAAAGATTTACCGACAAGTGTAAATTAAGACACTATTTAACGATTTCTAATTTAAAGCTTGCCTTCTCCTTGATGATCTTCTCTTGCTCAACTGTTACGAAATCTCTTTCTTTTATCTGAAGTATAACTAGCATTAGGTTTCTGTATATTATGTGCTCTAGCGTTGAAAATTAAGTAATTAATCCGCTATCAGATACTAACTTTACTCTCTGAAGCTTTCAGACTTCCTTGAAGATTTTTTATAATTTCATTTGCCTACATAGCCAGCAATAAATTACAAATACAATTACTTTAAATTATATAAATAACGAAATTGCACCGTTAGAGGTATACATTTATTAAGGACCTTTTTAATATCTCCTGTCAAGGCAATATTCTCATTCTCTAATTTACTGCACATTTGCTGCCTTTTATCACATAATTGCCCAAGTTGTTGCTAAACAATATACAAAAGAAAGAATTACAAAAAACAACTTTAGAAACAATCAAGCGGCTACGTACCTTTTCCTCAGCAATGGTAGTAAGTAGTGCTTTATTTTCATGTAGAAGCTATAAATGAAATGAGTGCATTTAATATCCTCACCGAAATTAATTTTATATCTAATAGTTAAAGAATAAATAAATACCTCTCCCTTGCTTTCGATATCTTGATTTAAAATTGCTAGTTTAGTTTCTAACTGGAGTATGATTTTGTCTTTATCTTGTAAATCTAAGTTAGATGAGCTAACTCGCTTTCTTATTTTATCTAACTCATCGAAAGTGATCTTATGCTCCTATAACAATGAATAGCAATAGTAAGCACATGCACTGATTCGCAATAGCCCTTAAGAAAATTAAGAATTACATTTTCTAAACTCGCATATTTCCCTTTAAGTTCCCGCAACATCGTTTCAGACTGATACTTGGAATCTAACAATTCCTGATTAAAAAACACAAATAATTATAATTATTACTGTATAAGGCCATTTTGATTTTCTGATCATCTTGTTAACTAAGGCTTAACTTAAATAACTTATCACAGCGTACTTTATTATGATTTTCTAAGTCTGATATCTTAGATTCATATTGTCGAGTCATACGCTGATGAGAAGCTTCTATTTCTTTACGTTCCGTGTCGTAACGTTGTTGATTATTCTGCATAGCCTACAATAGAGTCCAATTTAAAATTTCATTCAATAATTCTATTATAATCTCGTTAATGGTAATAAAATTGAAGCAATAATTTTGTTTATAATTATGACATAAATTACAATGGCAGATTTCTCCTTTTCCGTAGCTAGTTCGTTATTATGTGTCGATGTTAAGTAGTTCAATCTAGAGTTCCATTCCAACTTGAGTGTTTCAAGTTCTTTATTACGAATAGATAAATTCTACGACATCATTCCAAAGATAAGTGTATGTTTAGTATCAACAAATTTATAGTATCATACTAAGAAATTATTACGATATAATGCTATGAGACGAAAGTTTTCGCTATATTTGTTACCTCTTTGGCATCTTCTAACTGATAGCGGTAATTCTTTTCCATTTCCTTTAAATTACTTTTAAGCACACCACACTCAGTCTAAAGTATATAGATATCAAGAAGATAATGTCACAGGGAATCCGTCAATTAATGCA